TCCAATGAAGTAGCTTGGACGTGCATTGTGCAAGGCATCTGGACCATGGTTGCCATCAGGCACCACTGTGGCATTTCAGAATTGAAATAGGCTGATTTTCAGGCAAATGTTACAGATTTTAGCCAAAATATTTGGGCTTTTTCTTTCTAAACACAAATTTCCATGCAGGGGAAAAGAAAATTTTCTAGAGAGTGGTAATGTCTTATTACATGGTTCTCAAACAATACACTAGGATTCACACTGGCCGGCACATACAGAGTAGGAGACAGCTCTACAAGATACTACACACTTGTATTTAAAGCTAAGTGAAAAACTATACAAATTATGGAGTCTGGCCTTAAACCTTCCAAATTGATAACATCCAGTTTTATCCCAGAGTCCATTGTACCTTCCCATTGTGCTCTCTGCTGTCAAGCTGACAGACATAAGAACACAGGAAACACTAGACTAGACGGGACCAGGGAATATCTGGGGTTTTTTCCTTATCATTTATACACGTGTGGTTTTATTCAGGTAACACTTAGCTAAGGGGAAGGTTTGGGCTTGAAGGCCCTTTGTTGAATCATTGCTATTGAATTCTTTTATAGTATGTGAACTGGAGAGGAACTTGAAATGTGCTTCTGATACAGGGATTTACAACAAGATTTGTGTTTGGCTGATGAACGACTGCACAGAAAGTAAATGTTTAATTTGCAAGAAGTGGAACCTGTGTTTAAACATTTCTCTGGTGGATGAGCTACAGTGTGAAACTACATTTACAAGGGAGAAACATTACAACATGACTATGATAAAAATGATAAATAAATACAAAATTGCTTGCAATGGCAAGCTTCTTAGCCTAGGAACCTAATCATCTTCCCTGTTAGGAAGACACCTTATGAGGTCTGACTGTTTCTATTTGATTAACAGATGTGTGTCATCTCTGAAATTCAGGCCCTTCTGATTTTACATGTCTATGGAAACTTTAAGCAGAAGCATTCAACAACACAAAGTTGGAGCTCATAATAGGAAAGTGAAGGGGGGAGGGAAATGTTGGGACTGCTTTCTCCAGCAGCTGAAATACAACCACCTCTAAGTTAAGCACAAGCATTATGCATAAATATAAGGGAATTATCTGAAGTGACGGCCAGGGAAGGACACAAAGAGGGACCTTTGACCAGAGTCATCTCTGAAAGGTGCATACAAGTCTTGAGGTGTCAACAGCACAGCTGTGGCACCAGCGGTCCCTTCCTATCAACCGTAACACGGGAATGATTTGATCTAAACCAGTTTGGACAGATACATTACTAAGCTTGCCTGGACAAGGTGCAGCCATCACAGTTCTGGCAACAAGAGCTTGTGAGTAGGCTGCAAACATCAGCCTGCCAGGGTCAGCTTTCTCCAATAGGAACTGCAGGAGCTGTTGGCATGATCCAGATATGAGATAATAATGCTAATTAGAGCAATATGTTTGATCCAGGCAGAGAAATGGGACTCAACCTGCTTTGTGGAAGCTATCTGGCTGCAGCAAAGGGAAGCTGCAAGTCACAAAGCCAGGTGAAGAGTTGCAGCAGAACACCACTGGGCAACCTCTCAGCTCCTGGAACTGGGCATCAACCACCGACTTCTCCAGACCTACATCATTGCGGTTCTGGCATCAGAGACAGGAGTCACAACATGCAGCCACTGGGCAGAAAGCCTGGGCAGCCATCAAATACAGTGTTTTGAAGGCAGCTGTCATAGCTTAGCACTGTGATTCCTCAAACAGTGGGCAGCAGAAATGCTATGAGTGGGCCCCAAGGATCCATACCAGAACTTATCTACAGGGTCAGCCAACCTCCACACCAGTGTGTCTGCTGTGCCAGGCTTCACTGTCCTGGGACCCTGTGGGTGGACTTCTATTACCCTTTGTGCACCTATATGGCATTTTTCTAGCTGCGTAATGGGCTTTTTTGACCCTTACCCATGGGCCGCAGGGAGATTACTCCTGCAGCATGGACACATACATATGTGTGCATAAGTGAGCATGGTACCCAGGTTATAGCCACATTGGTCTAGAGGAAAAGGCAATCAGGACCCATAGTAAAGATGATATCTGTTATTAGACCAACAAGATTTTTGCAAAAAAAATTCTTTAATTGCAAGCTTTCGGGAACAAGCACCCTTCCTAAGGCACTGGATGAAAGATTGTAAAAGCTCTCCTGGGTAGAAATGAAAGTTCATAGGATTTCACAGAGGAGTCAATAGATGGAAAACTCCTCTGGGCAGTCCGTTCACAGCTGGTATGGAGCCTCTAACCTCCTGTGAGGATCTGTGATGATGCAAATTACCTTGAAACAAAATCAGGAGCAGGATCTCAGGTTTCAGGTGGTCACAGTTGCTTCCTGCATGTGCATACACATAGATGAGCATGTGCAGTGACCTATACACCATCTGGGCACATACGCACATACCTAAATTTAAGTCTCACAAGAAGAGTGTCAGCCTGTCCCATGTTTTAGCCCCAGTAGCTGGTTAGGTAGGCCACTTGCCCAGGATGCTGGAAACCCAGGTTCCAGGCCTTCTCCTCATTAGAGGGAGTTTGAACCAGCAGGAGCACTGCCCTGTGAGCGAGCTGATTAACTCTGCCGAGATGTTAGACTGATTAGCATGGGTGCAATGACAGTGCTTCTGGTAGCTCTGGCCAATGCTGCATGAATTATATCGACACAACACTGCACTATGCTGTGTGATGTCCAGTTTTAGCTAGCCTGCTTTGGTTTTGGAAGCTGCAGGGGTCACCTTGCAGCTGGTAAGGAGGACTGCAGGTTGAGACCCACTGGCCTGATTCTGGGTGCTGAGCCCACGGACCTCCCACTGGAGGTGACTTACTAGCATGTGTAAACTTCTGGCTGCCACTCCTCCCCTTAGGACCTGCTTCTCTGCCTCTTAGGGAGCTCTGAAAAGCTTGGGATATGGGGCCACCCACAGCAATCTCCAGGAAGCACGAGACTTTGGTTAAAGGTTAGAGGCAATGTGGCCAAGTGGATGTGAGCCGGGCAGAGAACAAGGTTGTCCGCTTCTCTTATCTTGTCTGGTTGTTCTCTTTGAAGTAGCTAGCTGGTTTTATCCCTGCTACTAGCAGCCTACTCTGGGGCCTTGTTTCCTTTTAAAGCTCCTTGGGATCTGTGCGCAAGAAAAGCTAGGAGACAGTGGGCAGGTGCAAAACGTTAAGAGTCCATGCAGGCAGTCACCTGAGTACTGTTTGTGCCATGTGCCTTCAGCACAACCTAGTGACAAAGTTACAAGAGAGGGCACTGCTGTTGGTAGGTTTGGCACGTTTTAGGGGGGTTGAGTAAAGGAATCTACAAAGAACAACTCCCTGCCACTCCCTTCTCCCCCAAATACTGCCAGGCACTGGATAGCACTGAATGCTGAATAAGCTACTCCTAGCCAATGAGATGTTATCATTGAATCAGAAAATTAGGGTTAGACAGGACCTCAGGAGGTCATCTAGTCCAACTCCCTGCTCATAGCAGTACCACCCTAACTAAATCATCCCAGCCAGGGCTTTATTTAGCTGGGTCTTAAAAACTGCCAAGGATGGAGATTCACCACCTCTCTGGGTAACCCATTCCAGTGCTTTACTACCCTTTAGTGAGAAAGTTTTTCCTAATATCTAGCAAACCTCCCTTGCTGCAACTTGAGCCCGTTGCTCCTTGTTCTGTCATCTGCCATCTCTGAGAACAGTCCAGCTCCATCCTCTTTGAACCCCCCTTCAGGTAGTTGAAGGCTGTTTTTAAATCCCCTCCCATTCTCTTCTCCAAATTAAATAAAACCCAGCCTCTCCTCAGAAGGCAAAATGCTGGCTCCCTGGTGCCATTCTGAATAGAGGGAGAGCTTGCTGCCATCTAGCTTCTAATAAGGATAATACAGCCTGGTTCTGTGAAATAAAGACAGAAGAGGTCTGCAGGGTTTGCTACACTGAGGGTTATATGATTTGACCCCAGCAATGCCTGGCCCTTCAAGCTGATAGGTTGCTAGCTCACCTGGAAGTCCTGTTCTACTAAGTGTGAGTGTCCTCGTGCTCTAGCAAAACTCCTTCATCTTCCTGACTTCACTGTCTGGGTGGAGGGAACTAAGAAATCAACCCCAGCCTAATGCAAACCAAAGCAGTGCTTAAAAAGCTGTGGATGTCACAGTGACCAGGGCTGTGTAAACACAGGAGGTTTCTACGCAGCCAGTACTGGGATTAATTTCTCTCCTGTAAACTTTTAACAACAAATATTAGTATATGCACGAGTATGGGACTGCAAACACAGCTCAGATACCAAGGTGCTACTCAATATTTTGCCAAGTTAGGGTTGTTAAGCTTTTACACTTGTAATTTGCTAATGAATTTGATGGGCACAAATTGCCCTTTGCCAGCTAGCTTGCAGTGGCGCTCCTCCCACTGCTAACTGATTTAAAAATAAACCCTAGAAACCCTAGGATCACATTACATATTCATGCAATGTGATTGTATGATGATTAAGCACTAACTGTTTAAATGCTATGACTGAACACTTCATTTCTTCTTGCTTATACCATAGACCTGATGAGGCAGCCTTTAAAGAAAAGATCACTAGTATAGTCTAGAGATTGGCAATTTGGGTTTTGACTCAAACCTGTCTACATTATACCGCCACAGCTGTGCCAATGTAGATATGAAAGCAGAGCCCCTTAGTGCAGGGGCTGGCAACAGGCCGCTCATGGGCTACATCCAGTTCATGAAGCCACAGGATCTGGCATACAAAGCCCAAGGCCTTGCCTATGCGGACACCAGGGCTAAGCAGCAAGGAGGTACACTGGGGCCAGGCAATATCTAGATGTGCCCTTGTGTAACAGGGAACCCTAGCCCTGTTACCAGGAAGCAGGCCGGTCCCTTTAAGACCAGAACTTGCTGGGCACAGACCACTGGCAGGGTAGGGGTTAAAAGCTGAGCCTGGCCAGCTTGTCAGGTGACCAGAAGGGAGCAGGCCAGAACTATAAAAACCCTGGGCTTTAGTGGTAGCTGGGGCCAGCAGCCAAGGGGGAAGGCATTTGTGTATAAGAGCTTCACAGAGGGGCTTGGTGACCTGTCCAGCTGCTGTGGGAGGGGAACTACTGAGGACTGTCAGAGAAGCGGTGGCAGCCCCAGAAGAAGGACCGTAGCAGATGGTGGGAAGCAGAAGCACAGAGCCTGGGAAAAATGTAAGCTGGCATACTGCTGCCTTTAATTATTTTTTTTGTGGTGGTTATAACCCATGAACATACTGTTTATATTTTTTTGATTGATTGACACCGGTGGTTTGTGGTTGAGGCTGTAGGGGAGGAGGAGATCTCATTAGCGCCTTGAGTGCAGTCATAAAAGGCCAAAGGGCCTAGTGCACTAGAGTGTCAGCTGTATAGGGCCTGTAGCTCAGAGCTCGTTGCAGGACTTTTAAGCTGGGTCCCAGTGGGGGGATCTCGGCTAGTAACCTGAGCTAAAGGAAAGGGTGCCCTTGGGCAGTGGGAGCTTTGGGCCGCTGCCCAGACTGGAACTTGCAGACTGCTGGCTCCATGCCCAGTGGACAGGCCTGGGCTAGAAAGCCTGGGCTCCAGATTGAAAACAAAAGGAGGGCTACAAGCCCCAAGAGGATTAAGGAGCTAGAGCCTCATAGTCAAACCCTATCTGGTGGGTTTAGACTGGTAGGCCTACCTAGAGAAAGACGGGGGAGAAGGCCCGTGGTGGCTGAGAACCCCAACATAGGATTACAATAGGCAGTCTCCTGCTTGTAAGAACATCTAAATAATATTTACATCAAGACGTGGCAGGAGAGTAAAGGCGGGATATGAGACAAACAAGAGAAATGAAACATTAAGGTACTTCAGGGGTGCCCCTCATAGGCAAAAAAGAAAAGAAAAGAACATGCTGCTGGGGAGGGCAGCCTGTTACACCTTGTTACCATGGCTTCTTCCCCCCCAGCTACAGCATGGGCACAGCTTCCAGCCATGGGGGAACTGTGCCAGGGGCCAGACAGCTAGAAGTTGCATCCATGCTGGGGCTGCTTCTCCCACCCCCTGCCTGCCTCCCAGCTGTGTCAGAAGCAGTAGCAGCATGGACTTTCAGTTGCCCAGCCCTGGCTGAAAGCTGCCCTCCTGCTGCACCCTGGGAGTGGATGGCTTGGAGAAGCATTAGTGCGAGGGCAGTTCCCAACTGCCTGGTCCTGAGGTGGGTACAGAGAAGCCCACAACCACCTGGCCTGTGTTGCACGAGAGGCAGGTTGTTCTGGCCCGTGGCTTGCAAAGGTTACCGGCTACTGTCTTAGTGGGGATGTGACAGTGTGGCAGAAGAAGGAGTTTTCTTCTGGCTTCACTACACCTTCATTCCCTTCTTCACCCCCAAACCCAGGAGGCAAGCTAACAAAAACCCCCTTGTGTATCCAGAAGGGTCAGAAGGTTCTGCCAGGAGAGCTATATCCATTATGGAATACTACCTATTCACATCCCTTGCTATGATGATAAAATATTGTGGCATGGGTCAGTTTAGCAGCTTGATTTCAAACCTTTTGAGCTGAATTTGAACTACGTAAAGCCCAAATAGCCTTGTCTGCATTGCTAATGAAATGTAATTAGTTAACTCAGGCTAGCTATTCTGAGTTATGAACACAGCTTTTTCCTTTGTGTAGACCTACCCAGAATGGCTCTTGTTCTGATTTTGCTAGAATTGCACGGGTACAAACAGGGGCAGAATGAGACTAATCATTTCCATAGTCACCACAGTGAGTTTTACTCCTGAGGTCACTCCATGCACTCACAGAAGTCTTCAGGTGACATTAAGCCATGGTTTCAATTTGAAGGAGCTCTTTCTTCAGGAAGTATGTGCAGGGCCGGACACAGGCATGGCCAAACTAGGTGGCTGCCAGGGGCCAGGAAAGAAAGGGGGCCCAAAAATGGTAATTTTTTCCCTGTTGTCCAACTATTATTATTATTATCTCTGGCGAAGTGGGGCCTGATACTAAAAGATCTCCCAGGCCTCCAGGAGTCTAGGTACGATGCTAAGTATGTGATCCTGGAGCTAGTAACATAGCAGGGGGCTGGTGCTGCTAACCCCCTCTGGTCTGCAAGAAGAGCCCTCACTGCAATTAGCTTAATTAAAGAGGAGTTAATTTAGGGTGATAAACACCCTGTCTCATCAGCCAACACACAAGAACTGTGGAACGCCCAAAGCTGTGCACATCATCTACAACTTGAGCTAATACCCCAAAATGAGCAGCTCACGTTTCTCATGGAAAACACAAAAGGAGACATGTATTCATCATGTTGTATTTCTCATGTTGACATTGCAAGGAGGACAAGGTTCTGGTTGCAACCGTGAAACACATTTGTATCCAACTGAATGGCAGGGCAGTATTTTTACCGTAAGTACCCGTGTTTTGGGGTCTTTACCAGCAACCAATGGGCAATACAACTGGGTAGTTTATCACAAAAAAACTTTGTTTTGGCAAAAAATGGAGAATCAGTCCGAATAAAACAGCCTGCAAATATACATCGCTTTCACAAATGTGGGGGTTTTTTCTTTTGAAGAATGAAAAATGCCACACAGTTTGAAGCTGTCTGCTTTGACATTTTTTAAATGAAACATTTTGACTTGGTTGGATTGAAATGTTTTTTCATTAAAAAATTCTTTCACATTTATTTTGATAAAAACAGCTTGGAAGAAAGAAACATCAAATACCTTGAAATGAATTTTTATGAATTTGTATTTCCCAAAAATTTGAGGGTTTTTCCCCCCCCCCCAGTCCAAATTGGAAACTGGATGTTTTCCCCCTCAAATTTTGAAATAGCCAGCAAACTGGATTGCTTGCTTGGCCTGTTACACACATCAGCTGACAGAAGTGAGTTGCTGGATATTTAATTTGGTTTTGTTTTGTTTTGTTTTTTTGTTTGTTTTTGTTTTTTACTACTTTTATCCTGCCTCTTGTTTCATTAGATTTGGCTGTAAATAAACTCTTTAAGGCCCAAATCCCATTAGTTGGTGAAGAATCGGCACCCATCCACTAAAATCAGCAAAGCTATGCTAATGTACACCAGCTGGAGATCTGGCACCATGCACTGTCTTATGTTTCTGGGAAGTACTGTTATATGATAGAGGCAATCAAGGATGTTTTACTAATCCTGTAGTGTTAATAATTAATCTCTGCCACACAGGAGCTACTTACTTGTCTAAATATGCAGCTGGACTGGGCCACTGTCTTGCATCTCCATTTGCAAAATGCAGGCCAATAGCCTTTTGCTACTTCTCAAGGCAGGGCTGTCCTACTCATGGCCTAAAGGGTCTTGTAGCCACCTCTCCTATAGTGGTGGGAGCTGGGGTTTGCTGCGCGCTGTCAGCACTACCCGCACGGCAGGGGACAGGGGACCATATGCCACCCATCCAGCTGATGCAGTGGAGGACAGGGAGCCATGCACTCAGGGACTTAATATGTGGTTATGGCCTGGGCTGTCATATTTCCTAGGCTAGGAAATGTAGCTGTGCTTTGAAACAATGGCTCAAAGCCCTTGGAGCTGGGGAATGGTACCTTTTTGAGACGGATTATAAATATTCATAAGATAAGTGTAAACCTGAAATTGATCTTCATGTCCAAGACTCTTCAGGAGTAATGGAAGAAGACGCACAGGCTCGTGGGGCAGGGAGGGTCAGTGTTGGGCCCCAGGGCCTGGTCTGGCCCGCAGACAGTCCGATCCAGCCGACAAATGGGCTCTGGGCCATTTGTCTGGCCCACAGGGCCAAAAAGTTGAGCAAGACTGATCTAGGTAATTTTACTGGACTACAGCAACCGTGGTAGCCTGAATACTTTGACTGAGGGGTCCCTCAGTCATCCTCCCTACCACGCTGTGAACTGTTATATTGAGTCACTATATTGTTAATTGTCCAACTTCGAGTGGCAGTCAGATCGGTGCCTGTGGCTTTAAACTCTGTCAGCCCAAACTTAACACCCTGTCTCGCCTGGTGCTTTCTCCCCAGTTCCGTGTTTGGCATTGGCACAGCACAGGATTCAAGCAATTTTAATCCCCCCTCATCTGCGTCCTTTGCATCCTGCTTTTCTGTACAGTGGAAGCGAATGTGCATACTGTGCCTGATCTGGTGCCACAGGAGTGAAAATGTAATTGGCAGCTTCACTTATCTTTCTCAAATCCCCAATTCCTACCAGTTGCTTAAGGAGATCTGTGCAGTGCACGCTTATCAGCTTCTGAGACTCTCCTTTTCCTTTCGCCATGGACAGCTGCATCAAATGCATGAGTTACTGCTACTCCATGTGTCTGTGCACTGATTCTTGAGGCAACAATTTGTGCATTGTGCCCAAACCAAAGAGGCCTCTTAATGGCTGCCTGGGCTTCCACGGGACACAGGATAGAGTAGCGCTCACAGAAGGTGTGGTAGATCATATCCCACAGGATAATGCTGGGGGCAAAGCCCCCAGTAAGCAAGTGCCTGGACTGGAGGAAACTTTGCTACCGCAATGCAGAGGGGAAGAGCTGGAACACCCATTAGAAGAGCATTTCCTGGCACTTCCAGTTATCCTGTGGGCGTGTCTATACAATAGCAGTCAAAAAAGACTTCAGCCACACCCTCGGGGAAATAACACCTACCCATCCGCTCCTGCTTTGTGCATGTCAACATAGAAATGATGCAGTGAGGATGACCCAGAGGTTTTCCAAGCCTCTTGAGCACACCGAAAGACCCAGGTCTTAGCATGGTGCCAAAGGTGCCCTCCAGCTCCCCTTCACCACCTCTGGGGCTGGAACATAATGAAGGGCATGTGGGTTATTCCTTCAGTGGCTGCCATGATATAAATATCCCCTGTGACAACACAGCACTAAAACACAAGTGCAAAGCCAAATTCTGCAGATTTATGCATCTGCTGAACTTTACTAATGGTATGCCTAAATTAATCGCATGCATTTGTGACTACGGGGTCAGGGCTTTAGGCTACATTGCAGTTATCAGCATTGCTCTGGACCTTTGGACCTATTTTTTTCTTGGTTGAAGTCCCCTTGTGTAAGCTACAGCAAAACTTGGAAGGACATATGGTGATGTGGCTTCTTTGCCAGCATGTAGCTTGTTCACAGGAAGACATTGCCCATGCTGAGGGAATAAATCCTGTTCCTAGAGCAGAGAGTTGATACTTTTCTCAAGAACATAGAACAACTGAAGTTATGGATGGAAATGACTGCTAAGACCATCCAGGGAAACAAAAACCTGCAGTCATAGGACATGAAAGATGTTAACATGCTCTGTGTGCGTCTACACGTGTAGTTACGTGTGCCTAAACTTAATGCACCTTTGTTTAAGGTGCATTAAGCCAATTTAGGCATGTGTCTACACATAGATGCGCTAAAGTGCATTAAGGCGCATTAAATTTAGGCTTGCATAGCTAAGTCGCATTATCCCATGTGTAGCTGCACTAATGCGCAGTAAGCATCTACACGTGGGCTAATGTGACTTAGCTAATCGCTCCTAAATTTGGTACTTGCTTTAAGCAGGTATCAAATTTAGGTGGGATTAGTCTAAAATCTCCATTTTTAAGGCATGTTAAGGATGCACACGTGTGGACTTGAGTCCTTAAAAATGGCGATTATAAGCTAATCCTGCATAAAAGGGCCATGTGTAGACAAGCCCACTGAATACTATCCAAAGAGAGGCAATCAATGTAAAGGGGTTTTTATAGTCAACATCTCGGATTCTGTGACATTACTTCTAATGATAGACACCCAAGTTGATGCTCATTAGATGGTCCCTGTCTGAGTTTCTTCTATATGACCACTGGAATAAATATGAAAACCAGATTGCAGGCAGCATAGCTTTCATTTCCTTGTGTGCTAATTAATGATCTACCAGTTCAAGACATAGGGACTGCCTCCTGCACAAACCCTATCAGTGCTCAGAGCCCTTAAACAGACAAGGAAAAGACAAAGTCCTTGCACCAAGGACATTATCTGGTGATACCTGAAACAGCAGGTAGCGGAGGGCTCCTGACACAGCCGTGAGCTGCGCCATTTACAATGGGCACACACACGGATCACTGGAGAACATGATCACCCAACTTTTCACCGCGTGCATCGTGCTGTACAAACGCGTGTTACAAGAGGGACTGTGGAATAATTCCCTCTTCCCTTCAGGAGAGCTTCATTTCAGTTTTGTAAGTTTGATGTCAGTTATTCCGTGCATGCCCTTTGCACGTGTGCACGCACCCCTTTACACGTTCACACCCGTGCACAAAGCCAGGCAGCAAATTTTAGCTGCTACCTTGCAGCTTGGGTTGGTTTTAACCCGCCGCCCCCGCCCCCTCCGGCTCTCAAACTCACAAAAACCCAACATCTCTGAGCTCCCACAAGCAAGGGGGTGGAATGAAGGGAGCCAAGAGTTTGGCCATTAGTTTGTGCGTTGAACCCTTGAGCAATTCCCAGCCCAGAGCTGTGCCTCAGTTTCCCTGGCTCTGCCAGAGTGGTGCTGACCTGCTGTTCTGTACCGGTGGCGTTACTCAGACACATCCCCCCTGGGCAGAGGTGGAGCCGGCAGCACTGGGCTCAGCAAGAGTTCAGGGCTCTTTCTTGGCAGCGCCCCCAACTCAGACCACAAATGCCCAAGATTGCAAGCAAGCCGCTGTTGCCGGCTCTACGTTTTGAAAAGTTCCACGAAACAAGAGATTTGAGAGGAAAAAAACAAGCAAAACACCCAACTCATATCTACCAAATGGGGACTTTGTACCATCTTTAGTTTTCCCTAAGCCTGAGGAAGAGCAAGGGTTGCTGCCAACTCTATTTCAATCTGTTGGTGGAGGTTTCATCACATGACCGAATGACATTAATCTACTGTACTGAGTAGACCGGCATTTGGGTAACGCAAATTGACAGGAAGGCAAATGTACGTTACACACTGGACTACTGTATAAATTGGATTTAACATTTACTATTTTAATTAATGCCCTCGCATTTATCTCCCAGGTGACTCTCAGCCATCTCCTGGAGATTTATATCTAATTCCTGGAGACTCCAGGACAATCCTGGAGGGCTGGCAACCCTCGCAAGGGCACGTGAGCCCAAAAGCTTGCAAAGAAAGATAATTTGTTGGTGATTCCGTCGTTGGTCTAATAAAAGGGAGCGTCTCTGAACCAAGAGTTTTAGAGTTTGGCATTTCTTTTTGGTCTCAGACCAACACAGCTGCCAAATACATCCCAGAGAAATGAACACCATCATTTTGGGCCACTTCTTTTTTTGCCTTCAGGTTTTGGAGCTTGTACGGGTCAGACTTTTCTAGCTCTATTCGACTCCCCTGGTGTCTGGCCCCGATGGTAAAAGCTGAGGTTCTGACTTACTCGGGTGACTCCAGGAGTTTTAAGGGGAAAGACGTGTGTTACCAGAAGCAGCAGTAGTGTGTAGGAGATGGCAGGAATGGGGAAGATACAAACTTAATTTCAGCCGAAAATTTCAAATGTGAAAAAGGTTTTGTTTAGTTCAAGACCCAGTGGCGGTTTCTTTCTTTCAGTTTTGCTGCATTTCTTCTTGTTTTTTCTGTTTTAAGCTAAAAAGACTTTAGTTATTCACTGTTTGGATTTTTTTATCACCTTCTCTCCTGATCTGTTCCCTTCCCTCCCCACCCCAGTAGACCCTGCCCAGCTGTATACTGTCATTTAGTCTCTATTCTCATCCTGTCCTCAGCTTCTCTGTAACACCACCATGTGCAATATGGGCAGTGTCTCTTGAGGGGCTGGACTGAGACAAGCCCAGATTATTTGTGCTAATATAATGCATCTCATGGAAGAAACTCAGTGCTCTCCACAGGTTTTAGTTAAATAGGCCCCGCAACACCCTGTTTGTCAGGTGAGTAGTAGTGTTTAAGTGCAGGGGAAATTTCAGACAGATGTGAAATGAGTGACCCAGCATTGCATAGTGTGGTGGTGGCCAAGAAGGGAATTTAGGTCCCGGGCTCTAACTGCTAGCACCCTTAACAGCTAGTTTTCACTCCCTTACATAAGTGAACAAATACCTATTATATCCCCAAAACACTGGCTGCTACTGATATTTGTTGGATTTGAAAAAGGGGCACACAAGTGTAAGAGAGACTGTAATTCCACCACCAAATCCCAGCTTGTTGAATGACTAAGTCTCCTGGAAACAAAGTCTACTAGATGAGTGTGTTGGTTTTAGCCAAAGTGTGAATGTTCCCAGCTAGCCGACAGGTACGATGATTATAAAGAGGATGGATATGGGTTTCTCTGTGGCGGTAGGGCACAGGGCTAAGGGCAATGGTCTGAAGCTGCAGCAGAGGAAATTTAGCTTGGAGGAGCTATCAGACTACGAGGGGGTCAAGCACTGGAGCATGCTCTCTAGAGAAGGTGTGGAAACTTTTAAGAGCAGTTGGGACAGATACTTTGCTGGGATGGTTTAGTTAGGGATGATCCTATTTGAGCAGGGAGCTGGCTTAGCTGACCTTGCAAGATCCCTTCCATTCCTACAATTCCAAGCCTATGCCTCTGTCCCTAGCCTTAAAGATGGCAATGCTACAGGCATCCCGGACAGAAGTTACACATGAACCAGTTTAAGTGATCAGAAACTGGTTTAAACCTGTAATAGAGCAGAAGTTCAGTGCACATCAACCAGTTTTCAAAAATGGCTGGAACTGGTTTAAGATAAATCTGGTTGAATGTAGTTGAATCAGACTCTGGTTGAATCAGACTTAACTGACTTGGGTCAAGGAGCCCCCCTTGCTCAATAGCCTCTCTTTAGAGCTTAGATGTATGCATCAGGGCTAAATGTACGACGCCGATACATAGAAGTCACAGCTTTGATTCTTCTCCTTGGGGTAGGTGCTTACAACTCTTCTTTAGGTGAACCGAGCAGGACTCACTGCTTTCTTTTTAGTCAGGAGGAAGAAGAAAAGATAATGCTGACAATCTTTTCTATAGCAGCCTAGATATTAAAGCACTTGCCCAGTAAGTTGGAGACCTGGGTTCTAGGCCCTCCTAAGCCTAGCTCAGCTAAAATCCACATCTCCCTTCCTCCAGGAGAAAGCCCTAACCATTGGGCAATGAGTTTGGCTGGATAAAGGGGCACTCTTCATGCCTCCTATTGAAGTACTCCTCTGTAGAAAGGAATGCAAGACGCATGGGGTCAGCAGGAGAGCACCCTAGCAGGTGGAAAACATCTTAATGGTTAGCATGCTCACTTGGGGATGAGAAGTCCTGGGCCCTGCTCCCTGCGCTGTTTATGCTAGTTGCATTATTTACTAGATTGCAATAATTCAGGGAGTGGATCTTCTCCCTTTGCAGGAAAGTGAAACCTCAGACATCTGCTTTCCTGGGAAGCCTGGTGTCCTGCAGGAACCTGCTGTAACCATTGTGCTTCTTGCAGTGCTGGGGGAACCATGAAGTACATCAGCACTCGCGGAGGTGCTGAGGGCACTGATTTTGAAGGAGTCCTCTTTTCTGGCTATGCCCCAGATGGTGGCCTTTTCATGCCTGAGGAAATTCCTCTGCTTGATTCGAACACCCTGCGAGCATGGAGCAACTTCTCCTACTCACAGCTGGTGAAAGAGCTGTGTTCGCTCTTCATCTCGCCTGAACTCATCCCCAGGCAAGAGCTGAATGGTAAGTTAAACAAGGCAGGGCTGATTTGCCCTTGATAGACTAACAAATCAGAGATGCATAACCATTTGTAAGCAGCAGCTTGCTTCATCAGATGCAGGGGGTAATGAAGGGAAGGGGGAAAAGGAGGGGCACTGCTGGGAGAGGCACGGTGAATTGAGGAAAGAAAAAAAGCAACTAAACCATTGAGGGACGCATGGGTTATAAACGCTAATCAAGACAATGAGATAAAAATCCATAGTCAGTTTAGACCATACCTAACAATCCTGTCTGTGGATGATTGCTTGCTCAAGTTGGTTTTTAAAGTTTCATTGTCTAAGGCTGGCGTCAGGATGATCAGTTGGTTAAAGCATTCGGCCACAGCCTTTCTGGACTTGAAGGCAGAGCAGCGTTCATTCGTTGTTTTACACAGGGATCACCGTGTCTGTTTTGTTCTTCATGCTTTGGATAGTGCAATGAATGCACCACTTTGCTAATGCTAATGCTAATTTTCTTTTACCGAGGAAGGCCATTAGAGGCCAGAATTTCAGCAGTTTATCTTGTTACCTTGTCTTTTCTCTCCCAGTTGGTTCCATCCAGCTGCTGTTTCGTGTTATTAAAGTAGGTTGCAAGCTGGCTAGAGATCTGCTTCTCTTCAGGGAAAAAAGAATAGGAGGTTCTCCTGACACACACAAGGCTGTATTTTGTCCCTGGCTGCAGAGCTCATCTTCAGGAAGCATGAGTGAAGTTTCCCAGCGTACTGTCTCCAGGGCATTTATGGTGCAGATGGATGCAGTCCCAGCAGTATTCGGCACCATTATGCTGACTCAGAGTAGACTCTGACAATATAGCTGTTCTGGGTAGATGGCCCCTTCTAGGAGCATGTCTGGTCAGTCTGAGAGAGGTTGGGTGCTGTATTGGCTGTATGTGCTTGTTAGCAGGTTCTCTGTCGCATGCGTGGTTTCCGTCATGGACGACTGGTGGAGTGGCCCCTATGGGCATGCGGAGGGGAGATGTGGCAAAAGAGAAAATGTCTTTCTCCTGCTGCGTACAATAGGGGCCAATGATTTCATTTAATTTTTTTTCCGTTTATTAGGTCAGCCCCTCAGTAGTTGTAAACACTGGCAGTCAGAAGAGCTCTGCCAATTTGTACTAAGCTTCAGACTCTCTGTAGTGCGCAGCATTTCTCTCGGTTACCTCTCTGCCTCTTCAACATTGGAGAGTCCTTAGCTTGGTAGTAAAGCTGCAATGGGCATAAGGAACAGTGGCAAAGCAGACGATGTATTAGAGAGGTATGCCTTGTACATGTTCTTTCAATTCCCTTTAACCTTTTCCCCGTAGACCTGATCGACAGAGCCTTCACCAGAGTCAGACACAAAGATGTAGTACATCTGTCCAGGCTGAGGAATGGCTTGAATGTTTTGGAGCTCTGGCATGGTGTAACTTATGCCTTTAAGGATTTGTCCATGTCCTGCACTGGACAGTTCTTACAGTATTTCCTGAAGAAAAGGAAGAAGCACGTCACTATTCTAGTAGGTAGGTTGCAGTTGAGGGAAAAAAAAAAGGATGGAAGAAACATGCTTAGACTTCACCCCAGAGCAAAGGCTGCTGAGATACTATACAGGGCTTTGTGTGAACCCATTGCATGGGGGTGAATTTTATGCTGGTGCTTGCCAACCAAATTGATAAGCCATGGAAACCAATGTTTACTGAAACTCCTCTGTAGAAAATGAAGAGTCAGTGGCATGGTATGCCTTCCTTAACCTAGAGAGGATACCTTTATTGGTTCAACCTCCTGAAGCCTTTACAAAAGTGCTTTACAGAAGTGCCTAAACTTTTGCTTGAATCTACAAACAGGTGTGCCACTTAATGGTAATTGTAATATTGACAGCTGCCCATTGGGAAGAAGCTATTTCCCAATGCCAGGTGCTCTCCACTAACTAAAAATAACTTAGACCAAAAAATGGTAACCATGCATATTTGACATATATTTGACTGACCTTTTGTCTCTTAATTAACTCTTACTTTATTTCCTTGGCTATTTTAATTTGAACCAGGAACTGCGGGAGACACTGGAAGCTCCGCAATTGAAAGCGTAAGAGGGGAAAAGAATATGGATATCATTGTCCTGTTACCCAAAGGTCTCTGTAGCCAGATGCAAGAATTGCAGATGACAACAGTGATCGAAGAGAACGTTCATGTGTTTGCTGGTTTGCATTTTGTTGGATGATCTATTTTATAATATTGCTGGGTTGATGCCTTCATGTTGGTTGGCCATTAACACTAGGACTTGCGGGGAATAGTGTTGCAAACTGGTCCTTCTGTGATGGTCCATCTTGGCTTATCTATCGGCTGCTACCTTCAGGGTCCCTGTGCCCTGTACTTCTGCTAATGGAAGGCTAGTTGGAGCCCGTATGGAAACTTGCTTTAATTTTCCGACTTGTTTGGCTGGTGACTCTGAGCTCCTTTCTTTTCTGGTCATGGGTTGAAAGCCATTACCTTGTAGACAAGTAGTATCTATCTGCACTGTGTTCACATTGAAAGAAAGATCTTCCTGTAAAGGTACTACATCCTCCATGCTTTTGTGTCTTCCCCTCCCTTGGTTTGGAATCACTGGAAGTAAATTGACTTCTTCTATTGATTCTTCCTGCGATGAACTCATGCCTTACTTTGGCTCAAGTAGACTCTGGGTTAACTTGGTCATGTCAGGAATGGTTCCTATACCTTTTTGTAGTAGAGCCGTGTCTTATTATCTTGGAATAATCTGGAGATGGGCCCCAATGAAAACCCTCACTCCAAAACCCCCCAAAACTTGGGGTTACAATTAAAAATTGGAACCCACATCTGTATTCAAGCTGTGCTGTTGGGTTGATGCCAGTACATGTTGGCCATTAACATTAGAAGGACTCATGGGAATAGTGTTATAAGCTCCTCCCTCTACGACAGTCTGTGTTGGGTTATCTAGCAGCTGCTGCCTTCAGGGATGAACCAAAATCCCAGTTCACAAGTTCCCAGTTTCACGGCTAGAGTTAGCAACTAGTCTCATATTTTGTTCAGTTACTCAAACCACATATTTTGTGCCTCACTTACTAACTTCAGCAGCACTCCAGTTAATACTCCTGACCTCTTCTCCTTCCCTTCAACAGCTGATGGGAATAGCGATGAAATCGATGAGCCAATCAAAGAGCTGTTCGCCAACACAGATTTTGCCAGAAAACATAACCTGATGAGTTTGAACTCAATCAATTGGTCTAGGATTATGGTGCAGATTGCTCACCACTTCTACGCTTACTTTCAATGCACTACCTCTCTGGATGCAACCCCTCTGCCAGCTGTGGAGATTGTCGTGCCAACAGGGGGTGGAGGAAACCTCACAGGTTAGAGGAAGGGGTAGGGCATTCATTGTGGTGCCTCCAATGGGGGAGGTTTAGGCACTTTGAGTCCTGTGGATTTAAAGGGCAACATAAGAACAGTATATTATTATTTTTTTTATTGGCGACTGAGGGTTTGTAATAGAAAAGATCTTTCTCCTGTACCATTTTTATCACTATTATTTATATTAAACACCTACTACATTGTTGGAACTATTTGAGATGCAGGTAGTCCCAAGCCATCCTATGATGTCTACCGTAGATAATACAATCATGAACATATTGGAAATCCATGTGAACTGAATGAATTGGATGCTGAAGGGTGTAAGATCTGGAGTGTCTGACTTTCTACATCAGAAAGTAATGCAACTGCAGTATGGCAGCTAAACTAGCCTATCTGCGGCCTTTTGCAAACTAATTTTACCCTAGCCTTTTAACTGGATGCACCTTACTGAGGACTGGGGGAATCAAATTTTTTGTAAACTCAATCAATTGGTCCTCAATCCATAATAGAGGAGTTGGTGTGATATGGGTCTTTTTTATACTTCAGGGGAAGACCATCTAAGCTGTATTATTTGCATCTTATGGACAGGAAAAGCCTCTGTGACTGTGTCCCTGTCCCTTAATTTGGTAGTTGGGACCTATAGGGACTCCAAGTCTATGCATGAAACCATCCAGTTCACTTTGACGCTTCTCACATGGAGAATGGCATTGCTGGGATTAAATGTCTTTGGTGGGTGCCTAAATTATAGAGACAGAGGCTGTTAATAGTTGTGATATGAAACACAACATTTGGCCAAACCTGATATATTTGCCCAAATGATTTTCCCCAGTGACTTCACTTGGACATTTGCTTTATGAATGTTTCATCATGGGGTGAAACCCTCTGCACTTACATTTTTCTTTTCCAGCTGGATATATTGCAAAGAAGATGGGACTGCCCATCCAGCTCATAGCTGTAGTAAACAGCAATGACATTATTCACAGGACCGTTCAGCACGGAGACTTCTCATTGTCGGGAAACGTTCAACCAACTTTAGCTTCTGCAATGGATATCCAGGTATATTCATGGCTAACAGGGGAGGTGCTGAATGTTATGCCTAAACTATTTTTGCTGTCCTTGTTCTGTTCTGCACTGGTTCTTATATACCCCCCTCATTTTTGTCATTATTTGAATACCTTCTAGAAGTGTACCAAGTCAGGGGTTGGCAACCTGTGACCAGAACCAGCCCATGGACCTGTGGCTTCAGCGGCATTTGGCAGTGGGGGGGGTCCGGTCATGCCATGCTGTATCCTGGGCTCTGGCAGAGGGGGATTCCCCCTGTGCCAAGCTACAGCTGAGCAGCAGGGAGAAGCAGCAGAGGTGGCTGGGTCTTCAGGTCTGAGATGGGCAGGCACTAGCCGAGTCATTCTGGCCTCCTGCCGGAAAACATTGCTGCCCCATATCAAGTGATGAGGTTACTGTCTGTCTCGTTGTTCATTCCTTCTTACATGCTTTGCTGTAGCGAGCAGCGTGGGCAGGGGTAGTATTTCCGCTTGGTTTTGGTTCTGCTGCAATAGCTGTGTTGCTCTGTCTTAATAATTGGTCAGACTGGCGGAGACTCTGCCTTGCTTTTGGAGGGGAAGGTGGCGATGTTCGTGTTGGCCCTTAATTCTTATGGAAGTGTGTTGCAGAGTCTCACACCAGCCTCCAAGAAAGAGGAAGCAGAGACGAGCTTTCCTCCTGCAGTAGATTTTTTTTTTGCTGTTGTTCCTGAAAAGAAGAGTTGCCGATTGTAGTTTTACACCTTGGAGCTGAATAATCCATACTCTGGGCCACTAATTTCCTTTACTTCCCAATATATTTTGCCACCCTCTTGGAAGCTGTCTGTGAAGCATAGATTCATGCATGTTAGGGACTGGAAGGGACCTTACAAGATGATCGGGTCCAGCCCCCCAGCACATGGGCAGGAAAGATTGCTAGGGTCAGATGACCTCAGCAAGGTGTCAGGTCATTTTTTAAAGATCTCCTGTGTCGGTGATTGTACCACTTCTGGGGGGAGTCTGTTCCAGACCCTCGGCACTCGAATTGTAAAGAAGTTTCTCCTTATGTCCAATCTGAAGCAATCTTCAAGCAGTTTGTGTCCATTGTTTCTTGTCTTCACCTGGGGTGCCTTAGTGGAGAGATGCTCCTCCAGGCCCTGATATACGCGCATGAATTGCTGTGACTTGCAGAGGCTTTCAGAAGATTGGTTTCGATGAGCCTCAAAGGCTCCTTATTTGGCAGTACGGATTCGCATGAGTTGCAAAGGGAGCATGTGCCAGGACGTCAGCATGACATGTGGTTAAGATGACCTCAGAGGAGACAGGCAAGCAGACGGGCTGATCCAGAAGGGAAGGAGTGCATGGTGTGCCAAGGGTGAACTGTATGATGCATTACAGTTCCTTTGACTTCACATCCATATGAAGCTTCTCACAGTATAATGCTATGCGCTTGCCAAGTGAATTACATAAAGCAGAAGATGCATGCTAAATCAAAAGAAGGTCTTTTGTGCATCAAAGCAAAGCAATTTATGGCAGTAAAACGAAAGATATACCAAAAACCCTTTTCATGTATAGATCAGCCCTTGAACTATGAAATGCCTTGTGAATGGTTTTCCAGAAGGAGCAATTCCAGGATCATAGTGGCAGTAACATGCAGACCAATACGTCAGCAAAAAAAATAAAGGGCCAGAACAGAGCCCATCAATCAGTCTTTAACTCCAATAGATCACACTCGTGGTGTAACTCTTAACATCTACTAATACAATTCCAGCTGCTCCCCCACCCCCAGGCTTATTTGGCTAACATTGTATTTTCTGTACCCTAGTTGCGTTCCCCTCCTCACCCCCATCCCTCTTATGTTAGTCCCTCACTCGGGCACTCTGTATTTCCCTACTGGCTTTGTTATCTTTTGGGGTTCATAACTCTTAACATTTACTAATAAAATATCAAGTATGACCGAACCTGAGATGCAATAGCATCTAAGGCACTGAGGGTACCACTAGCAGTTGTTGGTTTTCCACTCTTCTGCACTGAATCTTTGGTAGATGGTGATTCAAGCATGTCACATGTGTATTTCCTAGGAACCTTACAATATGGAGAGGCTCTTCTGGTTGCTTTCAGATGCTGACAGTGGCTTGATTAAAGCTCTGATGGAGCAGTTTTGTATGTCTAAAAGCCTCAAACTCCCAGAAGAACTGCACAGAAAGGTCAGTCACTTTGCACATGTCCAAGGAAAATATTAACCATTAATGTGTTAAAAGATAAACTGTTTGGTTTGGCAAGGGCTTTTGTCCTGAAGTCTAAAACCTCCACCGGAGGAGGATAGTGGAGTGAAGCGTCCCAGAAATCCTGTGCATATTGTCAAAGAATCTGTTGGATGTTTCTCTTTAATAAACACAACCAACCCCCACAACCCTACAATTATTTTGATGGGATTAAACATTCCTCTTCAATGGTAGGACCTGAATCCAACTGTATTGCTAGGTCATTGGACTGAATAAGAGTCTACTAAGGGCTAGATCCCATTCCACATGTTAGGTGACTGAGTGGACAGAGGTGCCAGGTATGACCCTTTCCACCCTGCTCAAGTCCATCAAAAACTGTTCACCCAAAAGGTGGATGGGTCCGTCTCATCTCTTTTTCGTGACTTTGGCATAAGGGTTAAAATGGCTGGATTTTACCGAAGTAGATATGCTTAGGTTTTTTCAGGGGGTTAAGCATGGTGAAATAAGATGGCACTTCAGGTGTGGGCATGTGACCTGATTCCTGCGTAACCATTTTACTGAATTTTACTCCATTCTGAAGTAAGGAGAGGCCAGCTGTCCCAGGCTGGCTGCCTGGATTGGGGGCAATTACAGTATGCAGCCTCCATGTGGTGAGAGAGCTGGTTTGCATTAAGCACACCGCTACCTGGGGAACAAAATAAGATTAGACTGGGGATATCAAACTCACCAGGCCCAGTGGGTTGGATGAGGAGCGTGGAGCCACTCTGCAAGTTGGACTGGCTCTGTGCACTGAATCCAGCACATGGAGCCAGTCCAGGCAGCACGGTGGAGCAGATGACAGGCTCTTCAGGCTGCATCCAGCTTGTGGACTTTATCTTTGATGCCTGATCAGGGAAATGGACACAGAACTGTTATGTATGTGTAAATCATGCTGGTGTATAGTTATTCCTCGCTTCTGATGGATGGCTTTATCCCAGAGTGGAATGACTTGCACCAATAACACTGTGTTGTGTGTCTGCCCAACTTTTGCTCTGGAATAAATCTGTTTATTCCAGAATAAATGTGTTGTGTGTCCATATAAGTGCCTCAAACCCACTTATATAACAAATAACTGGATCAGGATCTGGTTCCAACAGTCCAAAAAGTCTTGGCATACCTTTCTCTTTTCATTGGTTCTAGTGACTTAAGCGGGACTACCCGTATGTTTAACATTAAACAAGTATATGGTGGATCAGTGTCCAAACTGAGTGAAATACAAAATGGATAAAAATAAAAGGTGACACGTTTAATTAATTAATTAATTGCATATTGTTTAAATTTCAGTGATCTACATGGAAAAACAATGTTGGTAAAAGTCCTTTTTAAAGAGAAAAATTGCACCCATTACAAGTATTTGAATTTGCTATATTTCGCTTGGAATTGATTTATTTTCAAATCCCTGGATTGTTCCTCCATGTTCCCCAACAATGTAAGTGAGCTGATCAGGTGGGGAAAAAACCTTAGGGCCAGATCATGTTCCATCTGTTAGGTATCTAGGTGGTACCTTGGATACCTACATATGATCCTATTCCCCTTTGTTCAAGTTGCTTCTAGGAGCAAAACGTTAATTTTTTGCTTCAAGAAGCAAAGCACGTTTCTTGGAAAAAGCATTAATGAACAATGTGGAAGGGCCCTTCTCCTCTGCACTGCTTCTTGTGAATTAATCTTAGGGCTAAGGCACAGGCATGTTATAAAAGTAGAAGTGTAACTGTTTTGCAAGGGCTCGAGCAGGGAGGAATAGGATTGCACTTAGACACTTAAATATAGATGGAATCAGATCTGCTCCTTGGACTGTCTGGAATGATTCTGTGATGAGAACATAGCTTTCTCTCTGTTGTGTGAGACCATCTAATGCAGAAGTTCCCAACCATTGGGCCAAGGCCTGGTACCAGGCCGCGAAGGGTTGACTGCTGGGTCGTGGCGTGGGCCCCCTGCTCAGACTCCCGTCTGTCTGCCTGGGCAAGCAGCTTCTGCCACCAGTAGTCATGTTAAAGCTGGGCGGTGGGGCAGCCCCAGGAGGGAGGCAGCTGGCTCTGTGCACCCCGTCCTGCTCCCATGCCGGTCCGCAGTATAAAAAAGGTTGGGGACCACCGATTAGTCATGAATACAAGTAGCAGCAGCACAGAATTCACTTCAATACCGTTTTTTAATGAATCGCCATGGGTAGACTTGCAATTTCAGCCATGCTTCTGACTGTGAGAGCTTGCTTTTGCTTTCCCCCACCCTTGTGAATCAAAGCTTTCCGAAGTGCTGAGCTCCTGTTCAGTATCTGATGAAGACATCATTCGGGCGATGAGACGCTGCTGGGAAGATAACCACTACCTGCTGTGTCCCCACTCCGCGGTGGCTGTTCACTACCACTACAAGCAGTTGGATTTCCAGCTCAGCAAGTAAGGACTTACTAAGGGAAGGCAGAAAGGCTGCCATCACAGGTGGCATTCTCCATGCTCAGTAGAAGGGCATCCTTACAGGAAGTTTGCTTCTAGAAGCAACTTTTGGCAATCTGGCTTTCACTCCAGTCTCTCTAGTTCTGTGTGTAGGATGTTTCATGCTGCTGTTGCACTCAAAACGATTTTGGTGGCATCTGCTTGCCAGCAATTTAGTTTTGGCTTCCAATGGAAGGCAAAAATTAAATGTAAATAATTGGTTCATTGCCCCCGTCCCCCCAGGGCACAAACTAGCACTACTTTCACTTGGGCTGGGCTAAATCACTTGAAGCTGATCGTTCTCCAATGCCTTCTCATGGCTCCCCTCTGTGTCCACAAGGACGGACAAGTTCGCCCACTGTTTTCCTGGGAAGAAAATCCCTTTGAGTCTTTGCCTTGGCCTGAGTAACACTATTTGGGGTAAATCTCCTCTGCTGGGTCTGTAGTGAGCAGGGGAACAGGTGTCCACAGCTGGGTATGCCCGTGACACTTAGTTTTCTATGGATTATTAATTTTTCTCTTGCAGAGTTTTTTATGACTTGGTTTCAAGGACTGAATTAAACAGTAGCATGCACAGAATGTGTTAGGCAAACCTTGGCATCCGCTGGTCCAAAGAGCAGTTTACAAAACTGCATGTGGTAGGCCTGGCCCTACCTCCATTCAGATGATAGGAGTTTTGTCATCAATGTCAGCCTTGCATATTTTGTGTGATATTATTGCGAGGTTTGACACATGCACACACCATTCTGCAAACGACTACAGGAGTGTGCTAAACCAAATGGGCAGAAGTGCATGCTGCCTCGTGCTCTGCACCCAGGGGAAAGGTTAGCGTTCTACTTTTGGATTGTGATGCTGTAGCAGCAGACCTAGAGAGCGTCAGAAAAGCAGCACTTCACTTCTGTTCCAGTTTTATGTATGCATCCTCATTTTTCTTTTGCAGTACACCCAGGTGCTGCTTAGCCTCTGCTTCAGCAGCCAAGTTCCAGGATGCTGTACTCAAAGCAAGACTCGTACCGGAAGAGCCACCTGAGCTAAAAGCTCTACAAGAGATGGAGACCAGGTCCATCACACTGACAAAAGGGGAGGACTGGGCAAAAATAATAAAAGACAAAATAGAAGCTATTGCCAAGCGCAGAAGTCTACAGCAGGAGTTCATTTGATCGCTGGGCAGCTGTGCAGAGATGTTCCATTTTGCATGATGAGAGAGGCTGACTTAATGGTGCCTACCCTTTCGGCTATTTTCTCTTCCAAGGAAAGTGCTAACAAACTCGGAGGTTTTAGAGTCATCGTGGCACATTTAAAGCAAACTAAACAGTCCTGGCACGGGAGCAGACTTCTGTAGAATGGGTTTAAAATCTTACAGAAAAGATCTCTTGATTTTATAGGGTTTTACTGTAAATGTATAGAAACGTACTTAAACTCTCGTAAATCATAATGTTTTCAACCCTGTTAGTCAGTATGAAACTCTGCTTTACATTTGCCTCCACAGCACCTTACAAGCACTAATCAGTAACTGACCCAAACGTTATACACTACTTATTATCCCATGTCTTTTAGCTCCTAGCAGAAACTCCTTTAAATATCATTCAAGTTATAATAACAAGCTCTACTGATTTTTTTTTTTTTTTTTTTTTTTTTTTT